CTATTAGGACCCCTCCTTCACCCTTGATACCTACGTGACCAGGATAGAGGGATGTGCTGGGTCCCGAGGCTTTTTGGAAGCCTGGTTAGAATATACTGCATGTTCCAGCCCTTCATACGAGCAGACAGGCCACGTTGCCTTTCCTTTGCCCATGACAACGCAGTACGTTTGCAACTGTGCAAGCTGACTGCTGTAACAAAGGAATTCTCATAGAGAAAACTCTAGAAGATGTATTTGGAAAGCATCCTCCTTTTTCACTTCTGCTCACTATGGCAGAAGGCTGCCTCCTAATATAGCCAGGATAACTTGGCAGCTGTTGATGTGAGGCTAACCTGAAAAGCCAGCTACTGAAATCCGATCTCTTAAAGAGAGATGCGGTTTCTTCACAAAACGAGAGATCACCTATAGAATCATTAAGAAGGGTTTCCTGTTCATTTCTTTTAAGAATCTCCTCTATAGACTCATGTACACATCTGAGGATTATAAGTTTTATGAAGCAAAAATTTGCCAAGAACAGGCCCCTGGTGATTGTTAGCTTTTGTGTACCTTGTCTGTACCTCCGGAATCCCACTGGAAGACAGAACAAATGAAGCATCTCAATGATTGGAGGATTCTCTTCCCCCAGGGTATTCAAAGAAAACACTGGGGAACAAATCATACAGTTTATTTCATCGGCAATGAAAAAGGCCCACAAGAAACGAAGCACACAATTCACTCATACAAAAACAAAAGCTGTTTACCGCTTTGCCTCTTCTCACACCAAACAAGGTGGAAACGACATGAAGAATGGAAAGGAGCATCGTGTCACCTTCATGGTCACAACCAAGGTGGCCCACCCTGGATCAGTCCACATTCCATGTGTGGCCTGAGTGCACCCGTGGTTTTCTGGCCCCTGAATCAGAATCTCTAGGGGTTGTGAGTCTGCATTGGAAAGAAACCCCTGGGTAATTCCGATGATTCACTGAGGGCTGAGAACCAATGATGTAGCTGAACTCAGTGCATGGCCCCATTTTTACTGCTTTTGACTCCATTCTTTCTTTCTTTCTTTTTTTTTGTAAGAGTTTTTTGCTATAGGGACTGTGCACTCAGAGAGACAGAGAGAGCAAGAAATCACCCCCCAGAGTGGATGGCCACACTGAAGTCCCTTCTCCTCTCTTCTCCTCTCAGGACTCTGGGCAGGCACACACAAGCACCCAGGGTGAGTTTAAGCAGCCAGGTCTAGGACTCGAAGTACGGTCAACCACGTGAGAGTTTAGCGGCGTAACCATTACGCCATCTGCTGGTCCCTCGACTGTCATTTCTATAACATTCAGGGTAAGAATCATTTCTAGAATGATGCCCAATGCAGCAAAGAAAATTAAATGACTTCAACATACAGTTTATCTTCGCTGCAGTCTTTTCCCAGAAAGGAACAATTATTGCTCTCTGCCATATGGATCCGTCCCCTTGTGTTTTCATAGCGTTTAGAAAGCTCAGGTATTCCTGTTTATTTCCCCAGAGACACCATTGCCTCACCGTGTGCCCACTGAGGACACATGGCCGCGGACCCATCTCTTTGGGTCAGCCTTGGGAAGACACTTTATTTTGCAGAGACATACAGCCTGTTCAACATCAGTGCCAAATGCCTATTTCAGGCCCTACCAGCGATTATAGTCAAAAGTTTCTTGTGCTTTCGTCTACCAAACTTTTCTCCCAGGTAAACGATGCTAGGAGGGGATCCCTCACAGGGCATGCTGCCATCACTTCCTAGACAGTCCGAATGTTACCTCTGGATTGAGCCGGACATCCAAAGGACACAGTTGTAAATCTTGGCTCCGGAATATCTTCTTAAAGTGTGCCTGATCATAACCATCTCTCCATCCATTCAGAAGACCCTAGTACATGATGAAAGTCACCGATGGAGTGACTCCGTGATGAACTCTATGAACCGATCGATGCACATGGACCTTTTCCTTCCTATGTAGCCTGTGTTTCCAGGTAGGAGTGTTTTTCATTCCAGGGAAAATGTGCAACTGATAACCAATCATTGTATCTTCCTTACCACTTTGGTGGCAAGGAAACATAAAGCCAAGAACTTAGTCCAGGCTTTAGGCCTCATTTCAAACCGATGACCAATATTCCCTATTGCAGTGGTGGCGGGGGCTGGTACATGAGCATGAACACCCTCCCCCACTCTCTCTAGTAAAGAGCAAGATTCTGGCAGTGTCCCAGGGACCCCACGCCTACCAGAACAGAATAGAATCTCTGACCTTTAACACACCTGGCTGACTACTGATTACCCAAACTACAAACCACTATCTGCCACCTGCAATAGGCAAGAAAAGGCCAGACAGAGCTTTTCCTGGGCTCTTTGCCACGGCTCCAGCAACAGGCGCCCCAGAGCATTCAGGTGGAAGTGGTGCAAGGGTCCCTGGGCTCAGGTCTTCAATGCTCACGGCCGAGGAAGTGTTGACCATCTGCTGTCCTCAGTGGAGAGGAATCCAGCAAACCCTCTCCCAGGCCAGACTCCTCCCTGTAAGTCACTCATGAGACTCCCAGCAGTGTCTCAACCCCACCACCAGGCGAGGTCAGCCCTGGGATGTGAGTGGGAGAACCTGCATTTGCTGGGTCAGAACTCAGGAGCGGCCCCCAGAGGACCGTCTGGGCAGAGCTGTCAATCATGGCCCAGCTATTGCTCTCCTCCCTCCCATTCCACCACAGCTCTTGCGCCCCAGAGTCTGAGAATCACGCTCAGCACCACGCACAGCTGTGACGGCAGCAAGTGGGAGAACACAGCTGTGTGCCACCCTCAGCTAGGTAGTGTGGGAGGGAGGGGTTGTGTAGGGGAGGGAGGCGGGTGAGCAAGTACCTGCTTCTGTTTCCCCAAAAGGGATCCAGAGGGCCATCCACCTCCAGGAGAACGGAGCGCGGCTTTTCCACACTGTCTCTGTAGGCTTGGCTTACTTTTTCAGGAAGGAACCTGAATACTCCTTTCAAGTCCCCTGCTCAGGAGTTAGGGCCAGGGACACACTGATGGATGTGTGGCCACCACGGGGCTTAGACGGCTAATGGTTACATCGCTGGGCTCCCATATGGTCATGGTTGATCGCAGTTAAGGTCCCAGACTGGTGACTTGAAACTCACGCATGTGTGTGCATGCGTGCCCAAGATCCTGGGAAGAGAAGGGATTGCAACGTGGCCAAATCTAACACACACACACACACACACACATACACACACACACGCACACATCGGGGGTTTGATTCCCTCTCCTGTCTCTGTCTCTCTCTTCCCAGTCAGTGCACTTGGCAAAAAATAAAAACAGAAGAGAAAGAAAGAAAAAGGGTTCCTTGGCTTTCCACTTTATTTGTGTCCAGACACTGGCTTAGTGACTAGGAGGAACCGTGGAACACCTGCCTGCCCAGTGTCTAAGCCTGCAAACTCTCCCGGGTCCCCCATGTGGATTGCGCAGCGTGGGGGCACAGTGGGGGCGGAATCCAGCAGCACAGACAGGGCAGGATCTGCAAGCTGGACACCCTCTGGGTCTTCCAGAGCCCAAGAGAAACTGAAAGCACCCTGCCCAGGTGGACCTGGGCAGGATCAGGGCTGTTGCCTTTTTCACCAGCAGAGGGCGCACTGTGCAAGACCAACGGGGACGCCGGGTGACAGTGCTTCCAAAGTCCAGTGGGAGGTCTCCATGAGACCCACGGGTCCTCTTTTAAACCACGGAGAGGAGTGAGCCTCTTGGCTCGTGCTGACATTTCTCCTAAAGGGAAGTGCCTCACATTGACGGCCACTCAGGGATTGGTTTGATTAAAAAGAAAAAAGGGCAGCTCAGCATTGTGTGAACATGCAGACAAGCTGTGCACGCAACTCAGATGGAAGCACAATCACCCAGGTGCCATGCTGTCCTGGCACTGCCGCTAGAAGCATGACGGCGTCGTCATCAAAAATTCCAAAGCGCAGGGAACCAGCAGTTAGCGTAATGGCTATGTCGCTGGACTCCCACGTAGTCGACCGCGGTTTGTGTCCCGGACCCGGTGGCTTAAAACTCACGCCGGGCGCGTGTGCGTGCGTGCTCAAGATCCCGAGAGGAGAATGGAGGAGAAGGGATTGCGGCGTGACCATCCCCCCTGGGGGGTGATTTCTCGCTTTCTGTCTCTATGTCTCTCTCTGTCTGTCTGGCGAGCGCACACGCCCTACAGTGAAAATCTCTCAAAAAAAAAAAATTCTAAAGCGCAGATGATTTTGGTGGAAGGAGAAGCGGACCCTGTACTGCAGCTCCAGGAACGTCACCTTTTTTTTTGTGTGTGTGAGGTTTTTGCTATCGGATGCGTGCGCTTGCCAGAAAGACAGACAGAGACAGAAAGCAAGAAATCACCCCAACCCCCAGCCCCCAGGGGGAATGGCCACACAGCAATCCCTTCTCTTCCATTCTCCTCTCGGGATCTTGGGCACACACACACACACGTGCCCGGCGTGAGTTTAAGCAATTGGGTCGGGGACTCGGACCGCGCTCAACTACAGGGGAGTCCAGCGACATAGCCATTTCGCTAACTGCTGGTCCTGGAACATCACCTCTTAAGAACAGCACAAGAAGGAACATGGGTGGTTGCTGCTTAAAGTTGTCCTAGTCTTCAAAACTTTCTGTCCTTAAAGAGTAGAGGAGTTCCTGTATGACATACATGTTTGGAAACAAAAACACCTATACTGATGACCCATAATTCATGCAATCCAACCAGAAGCACAGAAAACTGATTTACACCGCACGGCCATCAGCAAATTGCAGAGATGCACACAGACAACCAGGGCAAGGAGCAGACTCAAGGCCGACCAAGGCCCTGCAGTACAACACACAGAGCACCCTACGGTAACGGCCGCTCTCTGCAACACCAGGTTACAGGCCGGCCCAGAGCACAGCGGCTGTCTTGGCCTCAACAGATTTTCTGGCTATCCTTGGAGTGTCTCCACCCAGTAAACCCATCTGATGTGGAGTGGAAAGAAACTGCTCCTTAAGTTTCCCAAAGGCAGCTGGAGTCATTAAAAGAGCATCTTTCTCCTTTCCGTAACAGAAGTCATCACAGCAAGTGAAGCTCCGTCCAGTCTGACAGCCTGTGCTCTTTCTAAAACCTCCTGGTGCCAGTGGCTGAATGACAGCAGCAGGAGCAACATCAAACTTGAGTAACAGTCATCGTGCTGATTTAAAAGGGCCCCCCATTTCTTGCCTTCCTCTCCTTATCCCCTCAGAATTCCTACTCTGGAAGGGGTAAAAGTGCTTTTCCCCTGTCCAGCAGGTACAGTTAGCCTGGCCCACTCTAGGTATCATGGGTTCTTCTCCCCTGTCCCTGCTCCCCCTTCCTCTCCATCCAGCTTGTTTTTGTTCTTTTTCAGTGCATTTCGGTAGTTTCTTAAATGCCTGTAGGGTAGGTTTGGGCTTTACGACATGTCCTTCTCCTGAAACTGTGTATGCGTGTGTGCTCATGTGTGTGTGGTGCGCCTGTGCACGTGCAGGCAGATGTGCTGGAGAGCGGGGTCCTCAGTCTTCACTGGCAGCAAATCTCCACCTGGAACACACATAGACACAGCCGCTGCACAGGATGAGTAAGGCCAGCACAGTGTGACTGAGCAGGAGGACCCCTACCGCAAACAGGTACAGGGTTTTGTCACAGTAATCTTGAGGCTGCTGGAAAGGGGCAATAAAATCAGGCAGGAACACCGAAAAGACCCAGTAATTTCCCAGGATGAACCAGAGGAAGAGGAAAAGGCTGAGGATGAGGTGGATGTAGTATTTGTGTGCATTCTGCCTCCAGGGATACTCGTCGTCATCATCATCATCGATCACCACGGCCTTGGACAGAAGCCGCCTCATCCTGGTGGAGTCATAGAGCAGGAGAGATACCTGGAATGTGGTATTGAGCGAGGGTTGCAGGGCACAGCAGTGAGGGACAGGGGAGAGAGAGAGAGAAAGTGTCATGAAAAGTACACACGCTGAAGCTAGAAATGCCATCAAGGAGTAAAATTTAATACTGAAGAATTTGAACTGGCAAGGATGAAGGCATAACTCCATAGTCAGCATCCCCTGCAGCATTTCCCCTGTAGATAAGTGAGTTATTTTGGTCAGGGGGTTGGCTGACCATCACCTCTGTGGCAAGGCTCGGACCCTTGGTTCCCTCCCATTGTCCCAGTATAGTTGTACCTCACACAATGGCCTAACAACGATGCCTGGTCCAGACTTGAGGACCTCAGCCCCTGTGTCTTATGAGGAACTCCTAGCAGACTTTCCCCTGCCACTTCCTTCCAGATCATTTCATAGACCTGGCCAACCCTAGGTTTCATGGGTTCTCCTCCTCGACCCTGCTCCCCCTTCTCCATCCCACTTATTTTTGTTCCTTTTCTTTTTTTTTTTGGAGAGATTTTTGCTATAGGGCGTGTGCACTCGTCATACAGACAGAGAGAGAGACAGAGGCGGAAAGCGAGAAATCACCCCCCAGGGGAGATGGTCATGCCGCAATCCCTTCTCCTCCATTCTCCTCTCGGGATCTTGGGCACACATGCACACGCGCCCGGCGTAAGTTTTAAGCCACCAGGTCCGGGACACGAACCGCGGTCAACTACGTGGGAGTCCAGCAACATAGCCATTACGCTAACTGCTGGTTCCCCCTTGTTCTTTTTCTTGAATTCACAGAAGCTCTCATCTATTCTTCTGTCCTGGTATGATGACTATTAGTACTTTCTTAGATTTCAAAATTGTCCTGGTTTGAATGATAAATTATATAGTCAATTTATCCAAACTCACAGGTATACAGATGTTAAGTATCACATAATACTTCATTTACTAGTCACTCTGGGACCAGCAGATGGTGTAGTGGTTAGTGGCTGGACTCCCACATAGTCGACCGTGGTTCGAGTTCTGGACGTGGTGGCTTAAAACTCATGCCAGGCACATGTGTGTGCATGCCCAAAATCCTGATGAGAGAATGAGGGTGAAGGGATTGTGGTGTGGTCACCTGCCCAAGGGGTGATTTCTTACTTTCTGTCTCTCTCTGTCTCTCCAGTGAGTGCACATGCCTTATAGCAAAAATATCTTCAAAAAAATAATAAACTTATCAGTCACTCTAATATTGTCTATTTCATTTATTTAATTAAAAAAAAATTTTGCCAGAGGGTGCACATGCTCATCAGAGAAATACAGAGAAAGAGAGGGAGAGAGAGAGTGAAAAAGCACCCCTCGGGGGGAGTGGTCATGCCGTAATCGCCTTTTCCTCCATTTCCCCCTTCCTTTCAGGATTTTTGGCACACATACCACATGTGCCCAATGTGTTTCTCAAGTTGCTGCGCCCAGGACTCGAACTATGATGTTGACCACATGGAGTTCAACCACCTCAACTACCACAACAACGTCTAGACCTATTTATTTATTTTTTAAAAGTGGGCCACAGGGGCCAGCCTGTGGTGTGGTGGTTAAGGTGCTGGACTCCCACATGACTGGCTGCAGCTTGAATCCCAGACACAGTGGCTTGAAAAATCATGCTGGACACATGTCCGTGCATGCCTAAAATTCCGAGAGCAGACCTGAGGAGAAAGGATTACAGTGTGGTCATTCCTCTGGGCAGTGATTTCTCATTTTCCCTCTCTCTGTCTCTCCAGTGAGCGCACGCACCCTATGGCAAAAACGAAACAAAACGAAACAACCCTTTAGTAGGGCCATGACCTACTAAATTCATTTCATGATCTTTTAACGGGTCATGATCCTCAGTTCTTTTTGGGCACTCTGGGAAATGTCAACTTACTTTGTATGTTTCTCTTAAATAAAATGCAATACCGTGGTGCTATGATGCATTTCACAAAGGATTCTGGGAGTCAGTACATAGCGTTGGATGAGTTACACAAAGCAGTCTCATCGGGAGTGAACTTCTGCCTCAGGGGACACTGTAAACCTGTTGCCACTGCTCTAATGATTGTAGACTCACTGTGTATTACCTCTCCAGGATAAGCACAAAAATTTAATTTGGTTCAAATAGTTTTAGGTTGCCAGGGGGAAAAATCAATGCTGTTTATTAGGGCTCTAGTTGTTCATTAAAATAAATTACCTTTGGGCTCTGGGCTGGTTTTCATAAAGGAAAAGTTTACTGTTATTATGAGGAACAGACCCAATGGGCAGTACCATCTTGGAAAGGAAAGTGCCACTTGGAAACTGATGATGAGGTAGCCGAGGGAGAGAGAATACGGCAGAGGTAATTACTGCTGAAAACTTTGCCCTTGTTTTGAGCATCTCTATGGTGCACAAACCATCAGAGCCTTCCCCTAACACCATGGGGCAACAAGGGACATGCAGCCCCACTGAGCTGAGAGCCTTTGGGTTTCTCCAGTGGGTCCCATAGGGATATTGTTATCAGGACGATCGTGTGTACATTCCAGAGCATTGTCCACTGGACTGCTGCCGGGTGAGGAATTTAATAGTGAGGTAACCCGAGACATGAAAGGCTCCAAAGGTTGGCCCCAAATCAGGCATTTCCCAAGACAGAGCTGAGCTCATAGCTACCACTTGCACTCAAGCAAAACAATCTTTTAGACATTCCTTTGATGTCTTAGATCAATAGCATGACCAATGTATAACACTCTTGATTTTGTTTTCCTTTGTGTTATTGCTTTATTTTTATGAAATCATTTCGGAAGAATAGATATTTGTGTTTTCTGGCTTTGATACAGGATGTTATGAGGTGAGTTTGGATGGTTGGGAAATATCATCGATAAAGGAGGTTGACCTAAGGTTCTTTTGGAAGGCATGACATTTCTGTGGGCCAGAGGTTTTGGAAACTTAACATAGGCTGTGCACGACCCTAGGATATCTTCTTCAGTTACTTGTCCTATTTAGACAGATATCAGTACAACCCAGGAGCAAAACAGCTCCCTCTACTGGCAAGCTTGAGAGTCACTTCTGTCCTGAGACCTCAGAGTTTAATGGTTGGTTGCTGACTGCAGCCAATTAATTCTGTTAATCAATTAAGAAGTAGGAGCTATAGTTAAAAACAGAAATACTAACTGCTAAAATCAAACACAACCAAATGCAAACTTTGCTGTCCTAAACAGGAAATGTTTTTTTTTTTTTTAAAAAGCACAGAGAGAGCCCACGATTCCATTGGCTGAATTCAGCAGAAGAACTGGCAGTCGTTGACTTCTCCACATCCACTCTTATTAGATCAAAGCCACAGCTTTACGCACTGAACTCAACAGCAGGAAGGAAGCTATGCAAAAAGGCACAGCCTTGGGTGAGTGCCCCTCATCTAGAAAAATTCACGTCTTCGAAGCCAGCCCTGTCATTTCAACGACTGAGCAACTAAGCGTAGGAGGAAGTTGTTCTGGCACCCTTGTGAATAGCATTAACGGATACATTCCACGGTGCGTCAGTTCAGTTTCTGCAAGGACTATACACAGCAGATAAGTATACTTTACCTTTAAGGTACCGACGATCCCACCCACTAGCAAATATAAAGGAATGAGGGGCTGGATAGGGCAGTCCTCCAGAAACTTCATTCCTGCACGGACAAACGGAAGAGGAGTGAGAGGAATGCATTCCAGAACACAAAGCCCAGCCATGAAAATGTGCCACACACCTACCAAAACTACAGTGTTGATCACACAACCCTAAGCTGACGGATCTGCTTGGTCTCTCCAGCCCCCTGATCCTCGGGATGCTCAGTGGACTGACATGACAGAGGCCACTCTCTTGGCAGAATGGCGATGAATGCACCAGACAGAGCAGGGACCAGATGTTGCCACACCTTTTGTTTGGCTCTAAACTGGCTATGGATGTGCTCTGCTCTTAGGAAAAGTCAAATGTATGACAGTCCATGTTTTCAAGGAATCGTCTTACAAAAAAGATTCAAAGAATCCCTTTAAATATCCAGTTCCCTTGGTATGCTTAAAATAAGATTCAGTTTAAGAGTCACATTCCCCAGGTGCATCCACTGTGTAAACTGAGGCTCTCAATCATGTTGCTTCTAGCAGCGACCAGGTGGCAGGGAGAAGCTGGCAGAAACCCGCCTGTCCTTGTGCAGCAAGCCCTCTGCAAGCTAGTCCCGGTCACCAGATCATCACCACAGAGTATTTCACTCACTGGACCCCAAGCCAGGGAACATGTGCTTGCCAACATATACTTAGAAGCTAGACATGTGTACTCAGAAACCAAACCACCCAGACTCCACCTTTTTTTTTTTTAATTAACTTTTAAAATTATTATCATTTTTAATTTGCTATAGGGCATGTGCACTCACCAGAGAGAGAGAAAATAAGAAAGCAAGCCACAGGTTTGGGACTCGAACCGCAGCCGGCCATGTGAAAGTCCAGCACCTTAACTACCATGCCACCTGCTGGCCCGAGTCTACCCTTTCTTGATGGAATTTTCTCTGCTGAAAGCAATGCTCTCTCATTTTCTCAGGCCTTTGTCTTACAGGCCTGTTTTAACCAGCGGTATGTCGTATCTATTTAAATACAGGAAAGAAATGCTTGTCCCCTCACTGACCATTCTGGCTCCACTGACCAGGCTCAGGATGGGTTCCAATGCACATCTCTGCTGAGCACAGATTCTGGCTGTCCAGCGTATGCCCCTCATTCATTGCTCAGCTTCTTTGTGGGTACAAGGGCTAGGTGACTAGTTCTGACCAATGGACAGTTGTACGATGTGGGGCCGAAGCATTAAGAAGTGCATACAAGCTCCTTCAGTGATGGCCCTGCTTTACCACTGAAAAACCGAAGGCTGAGATGGCCAACTCTAAGACAGAGGCCGCTTGGAGTACAAAGCTATTATATTCCTTGGGGAGAGCCGGGGTTGGGGGGGGGCGGTTCCGATCCACAGTGGAATTTGCATAAGCAAGAAATAAAACTTGATAGTGTTAAGTCACTGAGGTTCCAGGGTTAACTCTTTACTGCAGCACACTCATAATCTCCTGACTAATGTCTTTGCCAGCGGAGTCCAAGAAAAGGAATTCTCACTGAAGAACCAAAGGCTCCTATTCCAACGACATGGAAAGTTTTAGCTTCATTTTGACATTCTGTTGCCCACAAATGCCTTGGTACTTCTGCAGAAGTAGACCATTTTCCCATGGTTACATCGTATACCACTGAAATGAATGAAAATGTCTAGGTGCACAGAGAGCCATAAAGCCAGAGCCCAAACCGGAGGAGAGGTGAATATATACATTGATCCAATCGTCAACCTACAGAGACTTCTCTGTCTCGTTATCTCTGATACTTGGCTGAATTTGTTGTTAGATGGAAATATTTTCCAAGTCTCAAAGTAACCTTTTCATGTGCAGACCTTTAAGTACTTGATGCCAAATTTGTTGGATATAAACTGCCTTTCAATTCAAAGCCCAGCTGTGAAATGAGCATTGACTAATGACTTATATATCGGCTCATTTCTAATGAATAAAAACAGCTGCTACTCACAGGAGAGTCAATCAGTGCACAGATGGCTTAAAAGGCTTCAAATAAATTTAATAAAAGCCATCTTTCCCCCTGTATTTTTCACTTATGGGGGAGGACCTACCTTAACTCTAGATGTTCTTTTTGTTTAATCTATAATATTATAATTTCCTTTACTTTCTTTTTTTTTTTTTTTGGAGAGGTTTTTGCTATAGGGCGTGTGCGCTCGCCAGAAAGAGAGACAGAGACACAGAAAGCGAGAAATCAACCTCCAGGGTGGAGGGCCACGCCACAATCCCTTCTCCTCCATTCTCCTCTCGGGATCTTGGGCACACATGCACACGCGCCCAGCGTGAGTTTAAGCCACTAGGTCTGGGACTCGAACTTCGGTCGACTACATGGGAGTCCAGCGACATAGCCATTTCACTAACAGCTGGTCCCTCTCCTTTGTAATACTGATAACAACTACTAGATACAGTGATTTTTCTTTTCTTTTTTTGAGGGTCAATATTATATTTGATTTTTACTTTTTTATTGAAGTAAAATATCTAAATAAAAAGTTGCCATTTTAATCATTTTGTGTATAATTCAGTGACATTAATTACATTCACCATCTTGTGCAACCATCATCACTATTTCCAAAACGTTTTCATCACCCCAAATACAAACTCTATAACCAATAAGCAGTACCTTTCCAATACCTCCTTCGTGTGGCTGATGTATTGATTTTAATACTGAACATCTCTTATGATCAAGCCACTAATTCCAAGTCCATGAGAATTGGCTTTGTGGGATCTTATCTCGTTAATGCAGCCTGTTGGTTCCAGTTAAGTTTGTTTGCAGGATAATGCGCACAGGTTCCAAACGCTAAAGTTCCCTTATGCAGTAGATTTTGCATAGAACACTCTTTGAAGGAAACTCCTGACATCCTAAGCAGAGTAATATCTAACATCGTACAAATTTTCCTTGAAAGAGCAGAGCAATAAAATAATACTTTCTGGAGAGGTTTTTCTTTGCCTTAGGATGTGTAGACTCATAGACAGAGAAAGAGAAAGAGACAGAGACAGTGACAGGAAAGTAAGAAAGCACCCTCCCAGGGGGAATGGCCATGCTGCAATCCCTTCTCCTCCATTCTCCTCCTAGGATCTTGGGCCCGCTCGCACACATACCCGGCATGAGTTTCAAGCCACCGAGTCTGGGACTGGAAACATGGATGGCCATGTGGGAGTCCAACAACATAACTGCTACACCATCTGCTGGTCCCAATCTTTTTTTTTTTTTTTTAATTTTTTAATTTGCCAGAGGGTACATGTGCTCACCAGAGAGAAGAGAGTGAGAGAGAGAAAGAAAGAAAGGGAGAAAGAGCGAGAAAGCACCACCCATGGATAATAGTCATGCCATAACCCTTCTCCATTTCTCCCTCCTTTCAAGATTTTGAGCATACGCACACACATGCCCAGTGTGTTTTCCAAGCTACCAGGTCCAGGACTTGAACTATGTATCAGCCACGTGGGATCCAGGCACCTTAGCCATCATACCACTGGCTGGCCCAATACATGTTAATTTTTGAACTGCACTCTTCTAATGATAGCTTCTGAACTTACTGAGGTTGTTGAATTGTTTGCCCTTATACTGAACAGCGCAGACCTATTTTGGTTCTGTGCACACTCTGAAAATGTTGTTGTTGGGAACCAGCAGTTAGCGTAATGACTATGTCGCTGGACTTCCACGTAGTTGACCGCGGTTCGCATCCCAGACCCGGTGGCTTAAAACTCACGCCGGGCGCGTGTGTGTGCGTGCTCAAGATCCCGAGAGGAGAATGGAGGAGAAGGGATTGCGGCGTGACCATCCCCCCGGGGGGTGATTTCTCGCTTTCTGTC